GACACAGGGAGCCATTACCTATGATGTAATAATTTCACTTCCTGTGACACAATGGTAAATTCCACTTCCTGAGGGGAATGACTCTGCAAAATCCCATAGGAGTACATAGAAGCCCCAGAGGAATGCATAGGGATGATGCAATAGGGGAACAGTGTTGCATCATTTCCAGATGATGTAATAGAGATACAATAGTGCATCACTTCCGATGGGGAATATTTCAGCAAAATCCCATAGGAATGTATAGGAGCCCATAGGAATATATGAAACTTCCCATTACGTGTAGGTACATGTGACTGGGCAGGGCCAAATTCACATATGCTAATCTGTGAAAGCTGATTGGTCACTCAGGCTCAGCCAATCAGTATACAAGAGCGACAGCCAAAAGGCTAAATTTGTAGTGGGATTGGGACCTTCAGGAAGAACAAGAAGCTGTGAGATACCTGCAAGGAAGAAGCCACCTCAGAAGCAGCAGCAGTAGAACTCTGCAAAGAAGCAGCTGCTTGTAAAGGAGCAATAAAAGCAGCAGCAGCAGCAATCATGGAATTCCAAGGTTGTCCTGGACAACAGCTGTTCCAGCTACCCAGCCAGCAGGAGGCCACCGCAGCAGCAGCAGCCAAGCGGGCTTCATATCTGCCACCAGAAACCAGTGTTCACCTCAGTGGCAGCTCCTCACCTCAGAAATAGCCAGCAGCTTGCAGGGAGGAAGCCACTGGCTGGAGCAGACAGCACTCTGTTACTGACAGAACAGAAGGACCATTTAATAGATGAATAAGAGGGACACAAAGGGAAGGAGTGTAAGTCTAATCTTCCATTTTACCTTTTTATTCCTAGAATGTGTGGAGTTTGTCTGTAAATAAAGCTGGTTCTTTGTGGTCTGAGTGAGATCTTCCCCTACCCATCTAGTAACCGCCTGGCCAGTGCTTACTGGATGATTAGTGTTAAGTGCTTAACTGTTAAATTGTCTAATGTTTAATTATTAAAGGTTAAATATTGAATATATGGTTAATGATAAATGTTAAATAATTATTGTTATACGTTATAGAGTGTAAAGTATATGGTTATATCACGGGGGTCTCAAACTTCATTGCACTGTGACGCCCTTCTGACAAAAAATTGTCTATTGTAGTCTGTATTGCAATTGAAATATTTTTATTACAAGTATTTGCACTGTAAAAATGATAAACAAAATAAATAGTATTTTACAATTCACCTCATACAAGTACTGTAGTACAAACTTTTGTCATGAAAGTGCAACTTACAAATGTAATTTTTTTTTGTTACATAACTGCTCTCAAAAACAAATCAATGTAAAACTTCAGAGCCTACAAATCCACTCAGTCCTACTTCTTGTTCAGCCAAATCACTAAGACAAACAAGTTTGCTTACATTTATAGGAGATAATGCTGCCCTCTTCTTAATTACAATGTCACCAGAAAGTGAGAATAGGCATTTGCATGGCACTTTTGTAGCCAGCATTGCTAGGTACTTACGTGCCAAAAATGTTGAACATTCTTATGCCCCTTCATGCTTCGGCCACCATTCCATGTTGATGACACTTGTTAAAAAATAAGGCATTAAATTTGTGACTGAACTCCTTGGGGGAAAATAGTATGTCCCCTGCTCTGTTTTAGCCACAAATTCTGCCATGTATTTCATGTTATAGCAGTCTCGCATGATGACCCAGCACATGTTGTTCATTTTAAGAACACTTTCACTGAAGATCTGACAGAACACAAAGAAGGTACCAATGTGCGATTTCTAAAGATAGCAACAGCACTTGACCCAAGGTTTAAGAATCTGAAGTGTCTTCCAAAATCTGAGAGAGACAAGGTGTGGAGAATTTAAGACTTTAAGAAGTCTTAAAAGACCATCACTTCAATGCAGAAACTACAGAACCTGAACCACCAACAGAAAATCAACCTTCTGCTGGTGGCATCCAACTCAGATAATGAAAATGAACATGCATTGGGCCACACTGCTTTGGCTTGTTATCAAGCAGAACCCATCATCAGCATGGATGTATGTCCCCTGGGACGGTTGAAGCATGAAGGGACAAATGAATCTTTAGCACATCTGGCATGTTAATATCTTGCGACACCGGCTACAACAGTGCCATGAGAATGCCTGTTCTCACTTTCAGGTGACATTGTAAACTAGAAGTGGCCACCATTATCTCCTGCAAATGTAAACAAACCTGTTTGTCTGAGCAATTGGCTGACCAAGAAGTAGGACTGAGTGGACTTGCAGGGTCTAAATTTTACATTGTTTTATTTTTGAATGCAGGTTTTTTTGTATATAATTCTACATTTGAAAGTTCAGCTTTCATGATAAAGAGATTACACTACAGTACTTGTATTAGATTAATTGAAAAATACTGGTTTTTTTACAGTGCAAATACTTGCACTCAAAAATAAAGTGAGCACTGTACACTTTGTATTCTGTGTTGTAATTGAAATCAATATATTTGAAAATGTAGAAAATATCCAAAAATATTTAAATAAATGGTATTCTATTATTAACAGTTCGATTATTTTTTAATCGCTTGACAGCCCTAATATATATAACACAGGTTGCACATCCATCTATAAGCATGGATTAAAACTAAAAAGGAAACTATGAAATCACATTAGGTTTTACAAGCCTCCATACTACACAAACTTCATCTCTACTACCAAATTCTTCCATCAGTAACTCACAGTTACTCATCCACATTGAAGACAGGAGAGCAACACCCAGAGCCAGAATCTGGCCCTGTATGTCAATTTATATTTTTAAGGACTGATGCCACTGTATAATGCATCTCATCTACAACCAGTGACTATGTATCATGTGGGTGTACATGCAGTTGCTGATTCTGTAAACTGTGTAGCGACACATACCTGTAACCTCGGAATCCAAAGGAGTCCTCTAACAAGCAGTATAGCGATGCCCATATCAAACACTCAATGCAAGAATAAGCTAGTAAAATTACACACACAAAGCATATGTAGTGACCACTGAATCATATAACTGTAGGTGGGGAATCAAGGTGAGTAGGATAAAGAAATTAACCCATTTACTCAATAAAAGAGACTCATGTACCAGAAGTTAATTCTCTAGAATTAATAAACATGTGCCTGCACAATTTCGTTTCACCTGGATACTACATCATACATATTATTATATTATTATCACACATCATATTGTTATACTCAGACTTTAAAATGAATAATGATATATTGGCATAAGTCACAAAATTTGGATCTAAACTTCTCCAACGTTTGGAAGGAAGTAGGGAGAGGCCAGCGTCCTAGTTTAACTCAATTTCTAATGAACCCATATAATAAGATTCTCTAAATTAAGTAATGACATATGAAGCCTTTAATAGTTCTACATAAAAAAATATACTGAATCTTCTTAAATTTCACCTCTTTGTTTTCCTCATAGTGACTTTTGAACATACTATTCTGTGCCTTCTGTACACTTCCCAAGGAAAAAAAAAACTCAGTACAGCTGCATGGCTACTATGTGACCTCTTCCACATGGGTGGATATTCTTTCCACCACCAACTAACTGAGGGAACAACCCTGTCAAACAGAAGACAAAAGAGTAATGAGGACACAACTGTATAACCCAGCGTGTAAAAGGCTGGTAACAAGAAGGTTTCGAAAACAGAGCATCTGTGTGACAAAATGAAAGTAATCCATGCAGATGGATCAGACTTTAGAAGGGAACCTTTAAAAGCATAATGACTGCGTAACATTGTTATTCCACTTTGTGCCTGGTTAAACTCACTGACCTTCTATTCAGTCCAATAATTACTAACCAGATACACTACTGTATTTAAAGTAACCTCTAAGATCTGCTTCCACACAGTCAGTCAATAAACTGGCCTTAATTTGGAGGCCCTCCATAAAATGTAAGGTGTCTCAAATATGAATAATATACTACTTTAGTCAAAGCATTTAGAAAAATCTGTCAGAAAATGCAGCAGCCCATTCAAGAACCAGAAGAATAAATCCAAAATAATCCTACAAAAGAACAGCGTGCCTTAGAGTAGATTTTTTTATATTTGCTTAAACAATTGGTAGTAAAATTTAGATATTAATTGCCACCTCAGTAGACAGATAGCCATAACAATGTGGTCCATTAAAACAGATGTAAACCTAAGGAATCTAAGGAAATTAGCTTTAGAAGACAAGTTCAGTTGAAGTCTATATACTGTGCATTTTACTTATAAAACTAAACACCTTAAGCTTAAGCCATCCAAGCATATACTATGAGAATGTATTATATCATTGTGTCAGTGATACACACTTTGACATTCCATTTCTATATTACATTAAGACTGAAATGGAATTTTTGTCCTCTAATGGTCTTGAATATTTTCAACAGAGAAACAGTGCCACCTTTTGGCTTGATACATAAGCCTCCATGTTCTAATTCATAAGCCGTTTTTTATAAAGTTGTACTTTAAAGAGAAGTCTGGTTTTTGTGATCTTACTTAAACTTAAATGTGGTAGTTAGACTTTTCCAAAAAAAAGTTACTGTGATATGTGATAAACAGTAAGAAAACAGAAGGTTTTTCCTCCTGAATTAAATATCCATAAAGCAACATGACTTAAAAAAATACTCTCTTCATATGCTCCATTAATCCATGTATTTTTTTACCTACTGTATTCCAGATCTATAATCATCATTGAACTGATCACTCTACTTGATTAGAAATCTGAAATACCTTACCGCACGTCTTTTTCTTGGCAGTTCTTCTAAACATCTATATAATACCACACAGTACTTCACATTTTTCTCCTTTCAAGCAAATAATGAACCCTTTGAAGATTTCTTGTATGGTGAAAATTTACAATAATAATGCATTTGTTGCTCATATGATCAATCTTCTCTATAGCGTTATTGCCAACATGCAAAAATACAGCGTGGCATTACAGATAAAACCTATTACAATGCTGATGGTTCAAGATGTGCATAAATATGAATTGAATGTATTTGAAATTACTTACACTAATGACACAATGTCTCCACGTTGCACTTCATAATTCCTAATACTCCAATGGTTTAAAAGCACTACATCAGATACCTGTCTTTCCCCTGGATTCAAGGAAGGCTAAGGAAAGAGGAAAACAGCTTTAGGTTAAAAGTAAGAAATTCAACATTTCTCCTAAAACGCCTCCTCTCCAGCTTCCTTCCCATTTCCTGGGAGGTCCCAATCCTGATCCCATTAAAGCTAATGACATTTTTTGGGCCATTGGTTTTATGGGACCAGAATCTGAATCACTGGTGAGAAGAGTATGTTCAGTGGAACTTACTTATATTAGGTGCTGATATAGTTAAATGCCATATATTTATAGTAAAGTACAATGTACATCTTGCAATACAGCACAATATGCAAATTGTAATTCAACTGCAATTCCATACTCTTATTAGGATACAACAGGAATCAAAAAGAAAAGAAGTAATTTATTTGAGCATAAGCTTTCGTGAGCTACAGCTCACTTCATCGGATGCATCCGATGAAGTGAGCTGTAGCTCACGAAAGCTTTTGCTCAAATAAATTGGTTAGTCTCTAAGGTGCCACAAGTACTCCTTTTCTTTTTGCGAAACAGACTAACACGGCTGTTACTCTGAAACAGGAATTAAGAATGCTTTGCACTACAACTTCTCATGAAGAGTGACACCATTTTTAGAAGAGCCATTCCACCAGAGTGTGTATCAAGTATCACTCATGTTGTCCCTGAAATATGTAATGGAGGTCATCTGCTAGCATGCCTTTTTGCTTGACAGATTTAGAGTTCGTGAATGTACTCAGTCAGGTTGGCATCAGTCCAACCAAATACCTGCCTCTTGCGAGAGCTTTGAGACTGCTAACCTCTTCTTCAAGGACATAATAGACTGGTCGACAACAGAGCTGGTCGAAAAAATGGCATTTCCATCACGTGGAAAATTTTGAAAAAAATCTTTTGTCCTGAATCAGAAGTTAAAAAAAAAAAAAAAAAAAAATTTAAAAGGCACAGGACAACCAAAATGGAATTTTTCAGCTTCGTCCCAGCTGCTCTGGGAAGCAGGGAGCACCCAGGCTGGCAGGAAACAAGGCTAGTCGGCCTACCTGGTTTCCACTGAAAGTTTTGACAATCATTATGCTACAGCAGAATGTCTTGATTCTACCAAATCAGCATTTTCCAATGGAAGTGTTCCATCAGAAAATATTCAATGAGCTCCAGGTGTCATGTTGTTGTTACAGTGCTAACTGACATGTATCTTGATTTGTGGCAGAAAAGACTTTAGACTTCACCTTACAGTTCTCTGTTCTTTGACATTTATGTGGAGCATTCCACCAACAATGAGCTATTAGCTTCTGGGGCTCTCCAGCTCACATTGGATATATCTATGATGATCACAACAAATGGGCACAATGCATTGAAATGAAGTCCTCACAACACATTGTCTTAGAGCTCTCATCAATCTGTCATCACTCAGTGTAGCCTCAGTTTACTTATATTCACAATAATTAATTTACAAATTATGTTGCTAAATCTAAAGACTACCTAGAATTTCTGACAAAGAATTCAGCTTCACTAAAGTAATTGTAATGATTCACTATTTTCTCACCCGCCTCTCCTTGACTCTGTTTTCTATTTATAAAGCTGCTTAAAATCAAATGCCATTTTTATTCATTATAAACAGAGTTTCCTCATTCCTCTTATTTCCTACCCAGACAGAGGCAGACAAAAATTTATTTCAAATAGGACTTGTGAGATATTAGCTTATGGACAAAAGACAAAAATGGATCCACCAAGGTTTTAAAGCAGCTATAAGTGACATTAACAAGAATGAAGATCATGCATAGACATCAGCATCAGAACAAGGTATAAAACATTTATTTATGATACATTATTTTAGTCGGGTACTAATTACTAAAGATAGTTTCCTTTTTATCTGCAGGTTTAAACTCACAGGGTCAAATTTCCACTGGTGTAAATTGGCAAAACTCCAATGCAGGTCAATGGAATTTGACCTATAATGTTTAGAAATGGCAGGTATAATCATAGTTATTTCACAAAAACTATATGTACAGTAAGCACCAGTTAAGGGAAATCAGCTTATTACAACTATATTTCAGTGGACATCAGAATTTTTTAAATGTTATTTCCTACTTATAATACTTTCCATTTATGCAGCATCTTTCATCAAAGGCTAATATCTACATTTGCATAGCACTTTACTTTGCAAATGATTCACAAACTATATTCAGGGCACTGAAATGCAACCACCTCTGGACAGAGGGTAGCAACCACCTCTGGACTGGACGGTAGCATCCTGCATGATAGTGAGAAGAAAGGATATTGGAGCAATGACAAAAGCACAAACCCCTAATCTAATTGAAAGTGCCATAGAATCTCTGAAGTCTATGTAGAATGCACAGACCCTATTTTTTATTTGTAGGGCCCTTTTATTAGAGGGGCCTCTGAACTTTATTGGGAGTGTTCCAGCTGGGAAGATCCTGTATGCTGCAATCTAGCCTTAGAGATTACAACTCCCATGATGCCTTAGGCAAAGGCTGAGAGACTTTCTCTTCCAGGGAGTGCGGGGAGAGGAGGCAGTGGGCTCCATTTTGGGGTGGGGGGGAAAGGAGCCAGACTGCTGGTGTGGCGCTCTGTCACAAATTCATAGATATTTAGGTCAGAAGGGACCATTATGATCATCCAGTCTGACCTCCTGCACAACGCAGGCCACAGAATTTCACCCACCACTCCTGCAAAAAACCTCACACCTATAGCTGTGCTACTGAAGTCCTTAAATCATAGTTTAAAGACTTCAAGGAGCAGAGAATCCTCCAGCAAGTGACCCGTGCCCCATGCTACAGAGGAAGGCGAAAAACCTCCAGGGCCTCTTCCAATCTGCCCTGGAGGAAAATTCCTTCCCGACCCCAAATATGGCGATCAGCTAAACCCTGAGCATATGGGCAAGATTCACCAGCCAGATACTACAGAAAATTCTTTCCTGGGTAACTCGGATCCAACCCCATCTAATATCCGATCACAGGCCATTGGGCCTATTTACCATGAATATTTAATTACCAAAACCATGTTCTCTCATCTACCATCTCCTCCATAAACTTATCGAGTTTAATCTTAAAGCCAGATAGATCTTTTGCCCCCACTACTTCCTTTGGAAGGTTATTCCAAAACTTCACTCCTCTGATGGTTAGAAACCTTTGTCTAATTTCTAGTCTAAATTTCCTGGTGGCCAGTTTATATCCATTTCTTCTTGTGTCCACATTGGTACTGAGCTTAAATAATTCCTCTCCCTCTCCGGTATTTATCCCTCTGATATATTTAGAGAGAGCAATCATATCTCCCCTCAACCTTCTTTTAGTTAGGCTAAACAAGCCAAGCTCCTTGAGTCTCCTTTCATAAGATAAGTTTTCCATTCCTCGGATCATCTTAGTAGCCCTTCTCTGTACCTGTTCCAGTTTGAATTCATCCTTCTTAAACATGGGAGACCAGAACTGCACACAGTATTCCAAGTGAGGTCTCACCAGTGCCTTCTACAACGGTACTAAAACCTCCTTATCCCTACTGGAAATACCTCTCCTGATGCACCCCAAGACCGCATTGGCTTTTTTCACGGCCATATCACATTGGCAGCTCATAGTCATCCTATGATCAACCAATACTCCAAGGTCCTTTTCCTCCTCCGTTACTTCTAATTGATGCGTCCCTAGCTTATAACTAAAATTCTTGTTATTAATCCCTAAATGCATAACCTTACACCTCTCACTATTAAATTTCATCCTATTACTATTACTCCAGTTTACAAGGTCATCCAGATCCTCCTGTAGGATACCCCTGTCCTTCTCTAAATTGGCAATACCTCCCAGCTTTGTATCATCCGCAAACTTTATTAGCAAAAAGAAATGGAGTACTTGTGGCACCTTAGAGACTAACCAATTTATTTGAGCATGAGCTTTCGTGAGCTACAGCTCACTTCATCGGATGCATACCGTGGAAACTGCAGCAGACTTTATATATACACAGAGAATATGAAACAATACCTCCTCCCACCCCACTGTCCTGCTGGTAATAGCTTATCTAAAGTGATCATCAGGTGGGCCATTTCCAGCACAAATCCAGGTTTTCTCACCCTCCACCCCCCCCACACAAATTCACTCTCCTGCTGGTGTTAGCCCATCCAAAGTGACAACTCTTTACATAATCAAGTCGGGCTATTTCCTGCACAAATCCAGGTTTTCTCACATCCCCCCCCACCCCCATACACACACAAACTCACTCTCCTGCTGGTAATAGCTCATCTAAGTTTAGAGCTATTACCAGCAGGAGAGTGAGTTTGTGTGTGTATGGGGGTGGGGGGGGATGTGAGAAAACCTGGATTTGTGCAGGAAATAGCCCGACTTGATTATGTAAAGAGTTGTCACTTTGGATGGGCTAACACCAGCAGGAGAGTGAATTTGTGTGGGGGGGGTGGAGGGTGAGAAAACCTGGATTTGTGCTGGAAATGGCCCACTTGATGATCACTTTAGATAAGCTATTACCAGCAGGACAGTGGGGTGGGAGGAGGTATTGTTTCATATTCTCTGTGTATATATAAAGTCTGCTGCAGTTTCCACGGTATGCATCCGATGAAGTGAGCTGTAGCTCACGAAAGCTCATGCTCAAATAAATTGGTTAGTCTCTAAGGTGCCACAAGTACTCCTTTTCTTTTTGCGAATACAGACTAACACGGCTGTTACTCTGAAACTTTATTAGCACACTCCCACTTTTTGTGCCAAGATTAAATAAGATTGGTCCCAAAACCGATCCTTGAGGAACTCCACTGGTAACCTCCCTCCAGCCTGACAGTTCACCTTTCAGTAGGACCCGTTGTAGTCTCCCCTTTAACCAATTCCTTATCCACCTTTCAATTTTCCTATTATCCAAGTTATCCATAGTTATCCAATTTAACTAATAATTGCCCATGTGGCACGGTATCAAATGCCTTACTAATATCTAGGTAAATTAGATCCACTGCGTTTCCTTTGTCTAAAAAATCTGCTACTTTCTCAAAGAAGGAGATCAGGTTGGTTTGGCACGATCTACCTTTTGTAAA